TGGGGGTATTCGGGTGGTGATGGATACAGGGGGAAGGTTAGAGCACATTGCATACTTTCTCTGCATGTGGACAGCAAACAGGAAGGCGGGTGGTCCCTGGAGAGAGAGAAAGAGAAAGAACTGGAGTGGGTGGGATTTTGCCCCTGTAGTTTGGCGCTCTGTTCCCAGCCCTGCTCATGTGCACGATGAAGTAATGAGAGACCCGGGGCCTCTGACAAACTCAGGCCAGATGGGAAGAGGACAATTACTCTGCAGCAGAGAGCATTAGAGCCAGTGCAGCTTCTCCTCTACGGAGAAAAGATAATCACTGGGTTTTTTAGCAGAATACTTAATCGACACTGTTTTACAACACACTGTACAGTTTGGAGGATATCAGCTGTGGTATCTTCCTCTATCCCTGAACACAGTATCCTAGAATACTGCAATGTCTTGGTAGGACTTACAGAAGGAATGATCCATGGTACTCTTAGTTCTGAGTATATGAAAAAGCCTTTAAGCGGACACTGATGCTCGTAGAATCACTGGAGTCTCCTATAAATATGTCAATGCCATAATGGCCATCAGTGTTAATTGTTTCAATTTGTTTTTCAGAAGTTATGTTTTTTCTGTGGTATGGTGGGGGTTGTTAATACTAAATTACAATGAACCTCTGCCACTGTCACTATGGAGAAGAAGCTATTTACAGGCAAGAATCAGAGCTGTAGCAAAATGTGCAATTAGGAACCAAACATGTAGCGATGGTTGTCAAATTCATCCAAAATTTACAACAAATCTGAAAGACAATGGTTAAAAATGCTGAATGTTTAATTAATCAAGTTAAAACAATATGTACAAAGCAAAAACATTAGCTAGTTATCAACCGAAATTGTCCTTAGGAGTTGTAGTTCACCTCTTACTAGCTTTTATGTCTTGTACCTTTAGCTTTCTATGAATACACCAGATACTTTAAAACACAGTTGCTCATCTTTTGTTTATCCTGGAGAATATCATCCCCAGCCAAGTCCTGGAAGTGCTCCAGCTGCAAGTCTTCTTCTTCCATAAACCTGAACGTCCGAAATAACTCTTCTCACTTTGTAAAGCTAAGGTCCTTCAGCCCCATATTTTACCACCGGTGATGCTCTGGTACTAGGGAAAATTGGTAAATACATACATACATCACTGCTTCTCCTTTTGTGTTTAGCACATTGTGTCACATATTCTCCCAATCCTGTATGAGTCACCAACAGCTGCCTTATGGTTGTGTTTTAGAAAGGTTTATGGATTAGTATTGGCAGACTCCCATGAGTCCATGATGAGCACTTTCTCACTGACCGGCTGCAGGGCACTGATCTACCAAGAGTATAAATAATGTAATATCCAATAAGGTTAGCTCAAATTGATTTTAGAGGACAAAATATTTCCAAACAGCCTTTGTTTCCTGAGACAAATTGAGTGCAAGTTAGATATGTGTTTTTTCCTTCACAAGTCAAATGGATATTAGTCGATTGGTGCTGAAACATCAGCGTCGCTTAGGAATGTTAAACAAGGCCTTGATATCAATGTGATGGATTAAGAGGAAGAGCCAACAATAAAGGGGTGTCATCACCCTGGCAAAGAAAACATTACTGTAAATGGATTGAATGATAGGCGGCAGGTTGTTTGTAACAGCCAAAGACATTTCCATTGAAGCAACTGTAATATAAAACGAAGATAAGACATACAAACTCAATCTCTTGTAAACAGAGCTATGCTAAGAAAAATTGTACAAAATGTACAAAAGCAGGCAAAATTATGTTAATCCAGATGCAGGACGTAGAGACTTAAAGTTTCAGGCAATTTAATCTCTTGCTCCTTGCAATTAGTTCCGTAAGAAGGACAGACTTCCAGTCAAAGTGGAACAGCAGGCTGAAGTGCTGTGTTTGTGGCCTTATTGGACATCTGTCAGAGATGTTTTTGAAGCTCCACAGGGAAACAGCAAAGTTTCTGACATTTTGGCACAGTATAATATATTTAGAGGAAGTCAGTTCTTGCATATTAAAAAACCTTGTATGTGCGACAGCTTTGATCCTGCACAGGGCAGAGTCAACAAATGGACTAACAAACAGCCTGGCCTTGAGAGGGATACACACCTAAAGAACATTTAATCTCCCTAAGCCACTGATGCTGGCTCATCACACAGCAAACTGCCTAACCCGAGAGATCTCTCAGACAAATCGTCTTAAACTTAAAATCTTAAAAAAACATCCCTAAACTAAGCTGTTGTCGGGCTCATCCCTCTTTATGCAGGCGAGGTGAGGGCTCTGCTGTGTTAGTTTGTCATTTTGAAGGAAAGGAGGTGGTGGAGGAGTGCATGGCTGTGTTTGGTTTGATCAGTCACCTGACTGCTGGCTTGGCCTCTGGGAACAGGAAGTATGACATCACCGCCCTGACATTCAGGAATGAGGGAATGTCAGGCCGCCTGTTCACACTACTGGAATGAAACAGAGACAGAGAGCAAGCAGGACGGACACAAAAGATAGCTCACTCACAGTTATTCCAATACTAAAGACTAAACAATAAGGCTGTTGTCAGACCAACTTCAGCCCTGTAGGGCTGGCGACGTATTTCTACTGTTTACCTTGCAACCCTCACAACAAAAGATTAAATGATTGCCGACAAGATAACTTTAAGTTGTAAAATCCCTCCTCATAATATTCTAAATCGCTGTTCAGTGTTTGGGTGTCTCAGAAGCCTTCAAACACATTCCTTTACACATTCTGTACCTCTTCTGAGATGCTGCATTACATTACATGTACTCATTTAGCTGACACTTTTTTTTCACAATTGCCATATGTGTCAGAGGTGACATGCCTCTGGAGCAACTAAGTTAAGTGTCTTACTTCCATTTGTGGATGTGTCGTAGTGGGAATCGAATCCCTGGTCTCTCACACAAAGGCATATGTCTTATCCACTGCACCATGACCACTGTGCAGTTACTTCACCAGTCTCACAGGCTACTGTGGAAAAGCTACTGTCCAAATGTAGTTTAAGTCATGTTATATACTTACTTTCTAACAGTGCACAAACATAGACAAGTAACTGTGATGCAAGCGGCGTTCTCTGCATACCTTGTGAGGACCTGCAGGATTAAAAGGTAAAACGACTAGCAGATGAGGGCCAAATCAACCCTGGTCGATACTTGAATGTATTCCTTGAGAACTACCAATTTGCACAATATAAACATACAAACATAACTAAAGACTCAGAGGTTACTTTATTGTTAATGGGGGCACGGGAGAAAAAGCAGCAGCAATCTCTTTTTCTCTCTAATAACTTGCAGCCATTGTTGTCGTGATTTGTTTTCTGTGTTCTGCTGACCTTACATCATTACATTTATATATATATATTATACATATATACGTCACATGCTGGTTAACGGTCCCCTACTATTCATGCAGCACTTTAGAATGACACTTCCATAAAGTTGGGGTACTTCAATATATATGCATGAAGCATGTATGGATTAAACTTCAAAATCACTCTATCCTACATTTCCCATAATGCAATCAGACAGCAAAATGTATATCTAAGATGACATCATTATGACATCAGTGTTATTTTCTCAGAAGACCTCATGCAACTGATCATTAAGTGTGAAATCATTGGAGTGCCTCTTTAATTGCATCTTGAGGACACATTGCATTAAATCCTGAGAACATGCACAATCGAGGCGGGATACGCGTGGTAGCCATGAATCACAAAAACAAGTACATCAGTGCTCTAAAACCACACAGATCAGTCCTTAGCCTTTAGGGGCAAAAGCAGATGAGGAGTCACCTGCTACTGAACTACATATGTCCAACACAGAGAGCCATTTAGCAGGCACTGACAATAAGCTGCTTGGTAGGATAAGATCTCAATAACCCCCAGGCTTCTAAACGTATCCAAGTCAAATCCAGAACGCAGACACCCTGAGGCCAAAGACCTGCAACATGAGGTATTTTTTTTTCACTAGTTCAGCAAGTCAAACTTACTGTACATGCAACTGATGTAACCCTATATTCTGTTATAAGCTTTAAGTTTGTCATAGCTAATTAGAGGCTCAATAAATTGATTTGATCATGAACAGTGGTATTTGCTGTTCACACACCAGGGCAACATGCAAACAAGATCATAGGGACCGCCCACTATGCTGTTATTCCAATCATTACAAATAAAACTCACCATTGATGAATCCAAGATGTCAGCAATATAAAGTAGCTTACCAGGGAGGTTTAATTAGACACAAGCCATCGTCTTACACAAGTTGAAGCAAACATAAAACAGCTAAAAAGGTATATAGCAGATGCAAGGGTATTTCAAAAAGCAACAGCTAAATATATATTATTCATAGTCTTTAGGTTATTACTTACAGAACAAAAGTCATATTAGAAAGAATGTCTTCATGACATGATGCCAAAACTTTCAACATTTAGCTAATGAAGCCAGAATGAGCAGTCCCATGAAAACATAATTTTAAAGTTCATTCTTCACATCTCTTTCCCAGCTGTAATGGCGGTGCCATGGTGTCGCCAGCCCCTGTCAGAGATTTTGGCATACAGTTCCTGGACCTAAAGCTCAGTTTAAGACTCCTTGCCAGACTCTGGGAGAGAGCAGAGATGGAGTCAGAGCTGGAGGGAGTGCAGCCCCAGAGGAGCCCAGCTGCTGCCTGGGAAACCAAACCCGGACCGGCTTTGGCCCACGCTCTCTAACCCCAACCCCTCCCGTCTAATAACAACACTCTGTCTGTCTCTTGTTCCCTTTCTTTTCAATCTGCTGCCTTTTCCACTGTCATTCTGGTGTGGAGTTTGGGGGGGAAAATAAGTCAGTGGAGGAACGGTGGAATTATATTAGTCCCTCCGCTTCACATTCCCAGAATACTTCCCACTGTTGATTTCAAAACACTCACACATGTTCATGTTCTCACTCTCACACACGGAGAGGCAAGGGATTTTGCGCAAGTGCATACACATTCACACGCATGCACATGCTTTGACACTCACCCCGGTAGTGGAGGCTGTCATCGTGGTGATTGTGCCGGTTCTCCAAGGCAGGGGGGCTGCTGGCACCCAGCTCTGCTAGTCTACGGCTGGTGGCAGAGAGCTCGGAGCGGAGGTTGGTCACTTCCTGACTGGCGGACTGGATGGCCCCATCAATCCTGTGTGCCAGCTGTTTGTTGTCTTCCATCATTTTAAGGATTTTCCCCTGAGGACCAAATCCACACAGAGCAGCATGATGTCAAGCGGAGCATTAGAGGGGGTGAAGCTAAGACCCTTTCCTCTTCCTCCTCTTATCCCCCTCGTGTCCTCTTCCTCTTTCTCCACCTGTGCTTCTTCTCTCACAGTTTACTTTGCACATATAATAAAACGCCGATCCCCCTTCTGTTCTTCGCAGAGCAGCACAGAGATGATGTCTACCTGTTACTGCATAAAGAATAACATCTGTGTGGCCAAGCACTACACAGTCAGAGAAAGCATGTGTGTGTATGTGTGTGTGTCTGTGTGAGTGCAGGGCAAAGGAGAAAGAGAGTGAGTGCGGGAGAAAGAGAGAAGAGAGAACGCAAAAAGAGCAGCGAGAGATAAAAGACAAGAGAAAAAGAGATGCAGCTCAGCAGGCGGAGGGGAAAGTGAGTGCTCCCGCCGAGGAGAATGTGCTGTGAGCAGCTGCTCTCAGAGAGGACCCAGCACACACTGAGATGACATGCAGTCTTTTAAATGGATTGTACCATGTGCTGGAGGACCAGGGGAGAGGGGGGGGGACGCTGTTGGACTGAGCTGCTCTCCAGCAACTCTCTAACTACAGAGCGTGCTGTGTATCCCACACCCTCTGGAGTCTGTAATGAGTTAGCAATCGGGGCTGTAATAGAGGAAAAGCACAGATTGTTTCTTTTTACTTCTTCCTCTCTCCGTGTCCCTGCACTCAGAGCTTGGCAGCAGTACCGGACCCTTTGACAAGAACTTGTCAAGCCCTCTATATATTTTCCCTCCTGCTCCCTTTTTCCCTCTCACTCGCACACCCGCTGTCTTTTTGTCTCTCCCACCCCCTCTTTTTTCATTCCATTATATATTCATCCCTTTGTCCTGGGAAAGCTCACCCCCACATTGGTGGAAGGGGAAGGGGGCTGGCTCAAGGCGCCCAAGGGGAAAACATTTCAACTCTGAAAGCAAACTTAGCAGAGGACAGAGGCTCTAATGGGCTGAGCACAAAGAAGAGAGGCCTGGAGAATTACAATCGAGCTTTGGCAATTGAGAACATAGTGGAGCTTTACATCTGTGATCAAAAACAGTTGGTAGGATTATATTTCAGCTTATCCGTGGGCCCAGTAAACAAACACCACTGCCATTAGTTCTTATCTGTACAGCTGTAAAATTCCATCACACACACAAAAGGGTTAGAGATGCGGGTTAGACCGCTCATCTTAACTTAAAACAAGCCTGAATATTGCTGAGCCATCACAACTTTGAATCTGCATTTGACATTTCATTTCCCAAGTACAAAAACACACCCTGTCACTGGCAAGAAACTAAGGAAGATGAGTAATACATCACTCAGACTCTGCCATACGAGACTCTGCTGATAACGGCTCAATGCTCATTGGTATTCACACAATGGGAGCGAGAGAGACAATCAAAGACAGGACTGCAAGCGTGCGAGACTGACGACCGAATGAGACAAAACTTGTTGGTTATACAGGTAGCTTGTTCACCGCAGCCTGCTTAAGAAGTCCATACAGTTACAGTGTCACAGATCAGATCATGTCAATGACTAGGCTATCAGACAGGGGCCCATTATTGTCGCCTCAATATTAAAACCGGCCTATGTCAACTTCAAGCTCCAGTACTCTCTAATGTACATATCGTATAAGGGCTGCAAGATATAACACTGTTATAAGAGATTTTTCTACTAGTAAGCTTTATGCTGAGGTAGCTATCACTTCCACAATCGCTGGTTGTATTAAAAAAACTCATGACTATAGACCATTGCGGACATTGTTGCAAGTTAGTGAGTGATGGCATTGACAGCGTTTTTGCTTAATTGTGAGGAAACACCTTGATTTAGGTACTAAATAGTAGTTCAATCATTTAGCCAACAACATAAACTATTTCAAATATTATAATTTGTTTGCTAGAGCAACATGGAATATCACAGTGTCCACAAGAAAGTGAACTGAATCCCAAACCAATTCAAAGTACACTCAAAGTAAGATCAACATGTATCAACATCGGACTTCCTCTGAGTCATACAGTGAAGCACAGAGTTACGGCTTATGGCACACGTGAGAATTGATGCAGAACCAACAGACTAATCGGACTTAGGTTTTGGAATGTTCATCAGACAAAACAAGCAATTTGAAGACGTCCTCTTGTTCTCTTGTGTTGTTTTACCATTTGTGGAAATTTTATAGACAAAAGTAAAAACTGACAGCACACTAACATGCTCACCATGATAACATGTTGATGCTTAGCAGGTAAAATGTTTGTTCATCATCATATTGTAGCATGTTAGCAAGCTAACATTAGCATGAAACACAAAGTGCAGCTGAGGCCGATGGGAATGTCTTTAGTTTCGCTGTTCATAAACCAAAATATTAGACAAATTAAAAATAAGACCTGATGGTGGTGAGAGATGAAAGGTCAGGGGTGCACCAAAGTTATTATCATTCATCCACTGGGCAACATAGATATCTGTACCAAATGCCATGGCAATACATCCAATAGTTGTCCAGATATTTCAGTCTGGTCCAAAGTGGTGGACCGACTACCTGACTGACACTGCCATTCCTAGAGCGTGGCTAAATCTCATTAGTTGCAGTTGTAGATGAAAGATTGTATTCTATTGTGCACTACTAGGACATACACAGTATCATAACAGTGCTCCTCTTGTTACATGCCACTGTTTGTTTTTCCTGCTTTCTCCATCTGTCATCTTTCTGTTTTTAGCCACTCTTTATCATATAATCTATCTGTAACGTCAATCACCATCTCTGCTGTTCAACTCTCAACTAATGCAGGACAATTATTACAGAGAAGATACTAGAGAAGACTTACACCAGCACCGGTATGTTAGGTCACATCACATGTGAGCAGATCATTATCAACGTCTAGACATTCACATCACTGTCCCCAATTAGTGCAGTGGCCCTGATTCGTAGCTGATTAGGAAAGGACAAATGTAGCACTGCCTGTAGTACAGGGCAGGGATTAGAGTCGTCTCCCCTTGTTCTGGCTTTACACAGAAGGGTCCTGTTATTCCATCTCAACTGGTTATCTTAAACAATGTGACAGCTAAGTCTTCCTTCATATGAAACCACAACCACAGTCTGCTTTGAGCCATGTAAGGCAAGGCTTTCATACACTCAACTGTGGAATGCACGGAAATGAATGATTTTAGGGTCAAAGGTCGGGAAGTGTCCCAGATACACATCAATAACCAGACAAATACTTTGAGGATGCATAATTGTGGCATGTCCAAAACACACAAAGTCCTCCTCTGTCCACACAACTAGACTGAAAGCATGCATAGTATGGCCATGGCAGAGACCTTAGACCAGTTCAGGAACTTTGTTGACTCCCTTAAACAGTTCTCACAGCGGTGCTTCTATGGATTTGGTTCACTTTTCCAAACTTGGCAGAGTGTTTGTGTTGTTAGTTTGCTCACTTGTTTGAGGCTATTAATGGGAAGTTTAATTAAGTGTGCCAAGGGTGTGCAGTTAAAAAGAGGTATTGATAAACAGTCACCATGACTGTCTGCCTGGGTTAATTGAATATCGACTAATCCTCCTCACACGGGAATGCTTTCCATTTTTCCCAATAGCAAACTGATATAATGTCCTGCTCAACTATTTATACAGGTCTTATCAGGGGCCTGGGGAAAATATCCACCACTCTCTACTAGGCTTACTAATGTCCATCAAACACTATGAGAAAAAGAAAAAGCTATAGTGCTTGCCAGGGTGTGTGAGTATAGAATAGTTTTATGTGTGAATAGGAGGAGGTGTACAAGTGAAAAGATGAAAAATATATATTTAAAATTTTGTCATGTCGTCTGAATAATGTGTTTATTACTCCGTGCCAGGGTAAATGCACCCTTGAGCTGAAATCAACAACCATGTTTTATTGAATCATTTCCATCTGTGAGATGATGTGAGAGCAGGAAGATCCGTCAGACTGAGGTGACACTCGACTCTCAGACCTCAGCAATGTGTTGGCTCACATTTGGTGAGGACTGAGGGGTGATGCTAAAATTTAGTGAATTGTTGAAACCAAGATGTGGTGCAATCAGACTGGTGTTTGCAGGTGGACAAAAGGCAATGGGAATCCTGCAGGGTGTAAATGCATATAACAACCAAGTTGTGGCTGTCCCTTGGGACTGAGACGCATGAGTTACGGGAAACAACTAACTAGAAGCAAAGTGGGTCACCCACACGCATGTCAAAGTGTCCTTGGACAAAATACGTCACGCATATCAATGATTAGTTTCCTTCTGATGTGCATGGTAGCCTCTCCCATCAGCGTATGAATGACATATTTACATTTACTCATTTAGCTGACGCTTTTATCCAAAGTGACTTACAATTGCTATATATAGGGAGCAAGTAGCCTCAAGTGTCACAGTGGGGGACTGAACCCGGGTCTGTCACACCAAAGGCATAGTCTTATCCATTGCGCCATCACCACCTCTGTATGTAAACATATAGTGTAAATCACTTTGAGTGGTCCGAAGACTAGAAAGGCGCTATACAGGTATAGTCCATGTACCACCTTTACCATTTGTTACCATGTAAGGTTCATGAGGGAAGGGCGAAAAGGACATGGTCTGGTGAGACAACACACCTCTGCGTATGTCACACCATCAGATACTTTTTATACTGTGTATACAGATGTATCAGTCCCTTAAACCTGCATGAATTGAATCTTTGGCCACTTGGGGGCAGCGCAACAAGTTAAAAATAAATAAATAAATAAAACATAGATGCCACATTATTAGCACCTAATAAAGTTTAAATGGCTAATGCGTTAGCAGGCAATGGCTAGGTTATTAGGTTTTGTATGTCACAAAAAAATCTTTAAAAACCATTTCTGTAATTGCTCTTGTACAATAAATACATTTAATTTGATTTTCCAAATTAAAACTACTCATTTATGATGAGGGCAGATCTGAAATTGAAATATTTGGGGTTCATTCCATGGTCAAGTAATAACCGGCCTCTTTGCTAAATTGGCACAGAATTCTGCCACTAGGAATGAGGCCCCTTCAAAAATATCATCTCTGGAGGGCTTTATTACAGCACACTGCTGACATTCTGCTTGTTTATGTACTGCAGATAAATACTTTCGAAAGTATGCCTCAGCCTCCATATATAGCAGAGCTGCTCTAAATGTAAACCTTCAAAGAGAGTAGTTCTGAATTTCTAAATCTCTGTATGTCAAACTGTTTAGTCTTCTGGGGACTGAAACAAAACAACAGGTTTCAGGAGATTTTATTCAGGAAATAAAGGCTGTCAAGGTAAGCACCAAACTGCTGCCAACATCAAAGTGTACAAGAGTTTTGATTCTTTACTTCTAGGCAGGTTAATTGGCACTGCATTTGGATTTAACTTTTGTATGTTCATCATCAGTGTAGTGTGTGTGTGTGTGTGTGTGTGTGTGTGTGTGTGTGTGAGTGTGTTTGAAACAGAGTTGAAAA